ATCTAATTTCTCCTTACAATATCACCACAGAATCACACATTTAAGTCACAAGAATAAAGGAAATATCATTGCCAACTGAGAAGAAGCTCTTTAATGTGTTAACCAAATTCTCCTTGTCAGCACCGTGCTACCTAAGTGTAAAAATCTTGAACAAAAGCTCATCTTTCAAACCGGCAGTCTAAATCCCAAAGGAATCAACGAACGCTTTTCATTCCACAAATTTATTCGTGTTTTTCTCGTTGCCACGTTCCCAGCAATAACGTAGCTCCATTTTCTTCCTAAAAGCACACACAACCCACAATTCCTCTATTCTCTCCGACGAAGGGCTAACTCTCGAAACGTCAGCTTTTGTAATCGTTACGGTGGCCAATTTACCATTTCAACGTTGTTGATATATCCAAACTATTTCCTTAATCGTCAGTTTCCTAAAAGTATTCTTAACTGAGTAACTATGATTGCCGATATTAGTCAACAGCACCCTGTCAATTCGCCTTAACGCAATGCAACACGCCAACATTTGTCTTCAATCAACTTAGCGAGGGCAAGTTCACCAATAGACGAAGAACGGTTTTTTTCAAACATTTTTTCTTTCATTTCCTTGTGGCAAGGATGAGGACGAGAAAACTAAAGAGTGACAGTATGCTTTTAAGCATTTGTTTTCCTATTATTACAAATTTATTCTCAAATTTAATGAAGTCGATAGATGCGACAAACAGTTTATAAAAATTTTTGAAAATTCCTCGGTAAGTTCTAACTTCAACTTTCTTGAAAAATCTTACAAAAAGCAACTTACGTTTCACTCGTGAAACAATACTTAAAAAAATGATATAAATACAACTGAGCCGTGCAGTGTCTAAATTATCTTCTTTAAAATTTAAGACCCCTTCAAGCTAGGTTTGGTCCATGACAACTTGATTAAGATTTGCCTCTGGTATTGGCTACACCTGAAATCCCCATATCTTTTATACACAGGTAGTACCTTGGACTTGTGGCCGGGTTCATGGCAGTTAAAGCAGAGCTCATTTGGACAGGATCTCTTTATATGTCCACAACCTCCACATAAGAAGCACACGCTGGTTTTCTATAAAATCATACAGGGAAAGAAAAGAATAAGTCTGGGGTTAATGGAGGTAAGACTTTTCTCTTAGTGATCCACTACAACCACAGCTTATCCCAGTTTCAGTTGCATTATGCGACTGGTTGGGATGTTGGTTCATAAAAGATCCCCCCCCCAGCATTTTATCAGGCACTAACAAGTCATACACTTGTGGGTGGAAAGAGGCACTGGAAATACAAATTTAACAACGTGACACAGCTGTATCTCTTATCAGCAACACTTGCTTTCCAGTATATGCTACTAGTCGAAGAGAAACACTGTGAGAGTGAAATGTCTCACCCAAAGAACACATAACAAGATTGAGAACCATGATTTTTTAAGGTACCATTTGCCAGCCATTAAAATATATGTTGCAAGAGATGCTGCACATAACAAACAGCTGTGGGAATAATTTGCTCTGGACACATGTTTCAATTTGTTCAATCAAAAAATCATTAGACAGATTGATGCCGACAGGATCAATAGCATAATAAATGAAATCCTCAGGAATTTGAATGATAAATAACAAGTCAAGATTTATACCTTGGGTAGTGGACAAAACTGTGACAGGTGACCCTTTTCATTGCAGTTGTGACACCTCCTATATGGTGCTCCTTTTCCTGGTGTGTAATATCTTGAATGTCTCTTGCTTACACTGGGGTCCTGGGGGAAAATATAATCCTTTACAGCAAACATAACTTAGCCCTTTACGGCCTTAACATCAGTATGCTTATTCTCCAAAGTGTTCTCTATACATTTTCCTAAGGTGCTGGCAGGAGGAACTTGTGTAACAATCAAGAGCTTCTTTCATCGGTGATCATGTCCTTTATTCTTGTGACCTTAATGTGTGATTCTGGGGGGTGATGTTGTAAGAAGAAATTGAATTCTAGTCACCATTAGGGATCAAAAAACCACTTAAGTGGGATATTCTGTCACAAAGTTCGATAACTTCAAGATGAATTGAATTTGATTTAAAGGATATATATGCAAGATAAGATAGAAAAAGAACAATGTACCTCTAAGTCCCTTTCAATCACGGACCAGTTTTCTATGGGAAAAACAAAAATTACAGTTCAGAATAATGGCAGCCTACAACAGTAAAACCAAAAGATGTATAGCATAGATAACATGCTTGACAAGGGAACCCTTAGGTACAACACTGATGGGTGGGCCATGTGCTATTGCATACTGCCCTCGAATAGTGATTTTAGCCCAATGTTTTTCAATTAAAGAGCTTAGGGCAATAGCTAGTCTCCTCTGCAGTAGGGGGTATGTGATATAACAATGATAATTTCTAGGGCTTTACCTGTTATCTCCCTTGGTTCTCCTTTATTTTTCCCAAGTGGTGAGTTCTGCTAAAGAAACAAATCAAACGTGGGGAATCTAATAAAACAAAACAATGAACACACAGGAGCATCTGAAACCTTCCATGATCATTAAATAACGGTATATATCCAGTGCAATGTGTTGAGAATTCTTTTGACTTTCCTAGGCAACCTTCCATGCACAGGCCAGCCTAAAGATGCTTTTCACAACACACTTTCATTTAGTGAAGAAAATTCAAAGAAATAGCAATCTTGGGTCAAGGGAAATAATACCAATAGAAGGCACAAGTCTTTGCACTACCTTTCATTTATCTAGCACTTGTGAGGAATCTTTGTGAGAACAAAGGATGAAATTTGTGCAGTTTGTTTGCATTACTTTTGCACAATACTGAAGTGCATGTACAACTGAATATATGCCATGCATCCACATATGTTTATACAAAGCACATACTGTATACTGTAGGGGTGACAATATGATCAGTAAAGATTACAGAGCAACAGAAAGGGGAGTACATATATATAGTTAAGTGATCAAGATGGTTGTATTTGACAGGATAAAGTAGAATTCACAGTGGATAAAATACCTTGCTCACTTTGTCTTTTGAAGTTAGAACATTTTCATCAGGAAATAGATTGACAATTTCTACAAATCAAAGGATGTCAATTTGGTTGAGTAACAAAACTTCACACAGATTAGTTCAAGACAAGAACCACTTTCAGAAAAGGAACTCATACATCAGAGGCTGGTGACATACACAGACTCAAAAAGAAAAACAGAACCAAAGAGAAGTGGGATCCTGTGAAGCAGGGCTGTGGTCTAGCAGAGCCCGGATGCCTCAGGTGACCAAGTCTTGTGTTTGGGAGACTTGTTTAACTTCATTTTTAAAAAGCCTTGTTGGAACAGGGCACCATAAATTTATTAAATAAGAAAACCTTTGGGCACCCTGCTATTTTCCTTTCAGCACAGCCTTACTGTGAAGAGAACCATACCGAATGGATTTTATTATGGTATTTTCTCGGACATATAATGCCAAAAATCTAAAATGCTTTCATTCATTTAACAATAATTACATTTCTTAGGATGCATTTCACAAGTATCAATGCATTGAAAAAAAATTTAGAAATACTTAATTGAGAAAAATTGGAAATAAACATGGGTAAACACCAACACAGTGTATAAGAACTCCATCTGGCTGGAGACAGACCAGTTGGCTTTATTTAAAGAGAGCCAAGGAGTTGAACCCAGGGAAACTGAAAACAAATCCAGTGATTAGCAAGGTGGAGGGCCTGGACCTAGGACCATCAGATTACAAGACTAGTGCCCTGGTCACTTAGTCACACTGTCTCCTTCTAGGCTCCACAACTCATTCATTATTTTTAGGAACTTTATCATTACTGCCACTCTTGAAAACTCATTCAGTAAAGTTACCTTAAGTTCTGGATATGAAAAATTAATGTTTTTTGAAAATTAGTGTTTAAACAGTTGCCTCAGAGAAAACTGTTTGAAAGCCCTGATGTTTGCAGCAACAAAAATACCTGTATAGCCTGTGGCACATATGAGGACAGCCAATCATCATCTTAAATCATAAAATGATTGAAAGATTTTTTTTTTACACATACCTGGATAGTTAAATGAAGATTTAAGCTTTAAATTATCACATGCATTACTACTGTCCAACACATCTTTGGAAGTGATGTTCTTGTTATCATTTCCATCATCATCATCATTGCAGTTCTCTTCATCATCACTGGAGATTTCAATCATTAAGTTATTTGACTGATACCCATCTTTTTCATTATCTAGTCCTGTAACTGCTCCATCTTTCCTCTTTTGTGCTACCTTATCTGAAACGTCCAATGCCAAAGTTCAACAAAGTTTAAACAATTCAGACAAGAAAAGATGAAATAAACTGCATCTATAATAATAGTTCAATGCCATCAGAGTGCATAGAGTCTGCACTTTCCATCCACTGAGGCACAGGTGATACATTGCAAAAGATAAACAGTCATATAAACAATAGCCTCCATTTGGTGCTAAAATATCCACAAATTTTTATCCTCAAATATATTCTGTTCTGAGATGTGAACAGTTTTCCCAGAGCAAAGCTCAAGGAAAACTTTGAGCTTCAAGGAACTGACAGAAAATTTCCAAGGAAAAATATCCATGCATACTTTCACACCAAATGAAAGCTATTGTTTATTATCCTTCAAATATCAATTTGTCGACATTAGGTCATGTGACACATTTTGACCAATTGCACAGGAGCAAAAATATTTGTTGGATAATAAAAGATTAATATTATACTACCTATGGTTAGGGTAATTTATTGACAAGCTGAACCAACTTTTTTGTTCTTATCATATTTTGATGTATCTGTGATCTCTCACTAAACAGATACATGACAACATGGAATCTATTTGTTAAACAGATATCAATTTAAGAAGTTCATACCTGGAGCAGACTTCTCTGATACCGGCAGAGAAGAAGCATAATGCACATGGCAATAAAGTGTCTCCTCTATTTCACTGTCTACATCATTTTCACTTCTAAAGAAGTATAACCAAAAATTAAGTTCAATTCATTTACACTCAATTAGACTAGATTTTGCCAAAATATCAGACTTCTTGAAATTACTTGTTTCCTTTTACAACAGTCAATACCACTTAGCAAGTAATCTTCATCTTTCAACTCCCAGATCTCATAAGTAATTCTCCTTATTGTCAGTCATACAACTCAAAATTTTGGTTTGGAGAATTTAGTTTTTGATCAGTTACTAAGCCCCTGAGTGATATTTTTTTTCTGCTTAATAATGTATTGATATTGTGAGGAAAAATTTTGTCTTCATCACTCATGGGAGTTAAAGGGAAAAAAAACAACACTAACCCAGAGGAAGAATGCTCTCTGTACAGCTGATCCTCATATGCTTGGTAAGCGTCACTGTCAAACTCGTCATCACTGCTCATACTTTAAGACAAAATGTGTTATAGGGACCCTAATGGAATGTTAACGCATCAAGAATAAGGTTAAGACCAAGGGATGGGGGACGGGTGAGAGGGGGTGCTCACATGCAAACAGTTTTACTAAGGTATGTATAGGTTCCTGCAGTCCATTTTTTATTCCAAGTATATTCTCAATGGCACTGATATTAATGTTGGTACATTTTAAGCGTTCCTTAATTGGAGCTCTGAAACGTGATAACGCCACGCAGGATGTTGGCAAACAACGAAAGAAGCTTATAAATCATGAGAATACTCGTAACGCAAAAACATGGAACCACATTTTCAAACTTGGTCGGAAAGTTAAATTTAATAGCTGCACAGACAGCATTGGACGAGAAGTCTTTATCGACCCCTATACTCACTTCCGTAACAATTTTTAACTTTACGAGAATTAGGAAATGACCGACTATCAAAATAATTTAGAAATTCTTTGAAATGTACTAACCTTCCACAGATTTATGCCACAATAACAAATAGAAAATCAATAAAAACCCTTGTCACGATAAAAAGAGTTGTCTCGTTTTCTCCTCGTGTTATGTCGCAACGTGTTCCAGTTCAAAATGTTCCAGGCGTTTACACACTGAAGTGAATATTTCATGTATTCTATCATGGCTTGTTCCGTGGTATCACTCCTCCGTAAAACTTATTTTCACTTGAAGAAAGATTTGAAGAAAGATTTTCTTACTTCGACTTTGGTTAGTTTTTTATTTGTCTATTATTTATAGAACACTTACAGTTCCAAATGAAACAAAACTCGTTGTGCACCTTTCGTGTAACTTGTATTATATGAAGAAAAAACTACCCAAGGGAAATCTTTTGAGCCCGCACAACATACAACATGGCGGGTGATCCAAGAAGCGACCTAAAACGTTTTGAAGAAGAAATAGATTTAGAGGTTGCCTTCAATGAGTTCGACGATGAGCTGTTTGAGTATAATGAGCGAAATTTGAATAACTCTGAGGAAAAAGGCCCAAAAGACTCAAAACAAGGAGAATATAAAGACAACATGTTTGCTAATGACGCTTGCCATCACCAGAATGAAACTATCAAGAAACATAGCGTTACAAATGAAAACCACACCGGAGGTATGCCCATTGTGGGAACGTCAGAAGAAGGTGAAGTGTTAAGTTCAAGTGACGACGAAGGCGAAGAGAAAATGGATTTTGATGAGGACCTTGACGAGAAACCAGTTACAAAGTCGAATTTCACGTTAGGTGATGAGGGAACAATTGCAAAAACTATTTTTAAGTTTTTACCTCCTGATTCTACTGAAGGAGAGGGGAGTAAAATGGGAAGTAAAGCACAAGAATTAACAAAAGGTACGGTTGCTAGTATCGATGAAGCAGAGAGAGAAATGCTTTCAATGGAATCTGATAATTCAATGGACGATCAGAGCTGGAAGAGACATAAACGGGCCAGAATGGAAGTGGAAACCCAAGAGCATTCAGTGGAGAGGAAAAGGGATGGAAAAGGTGAATAATACAGACCTGTGAAGCATACTTAATCACAAATATGGTTACACATTCGTGCTGCAAACAAAATCAAAGGGAAATTTGAAACACCTGTAAAGAAACTGTAGCGGTTGTTAACCCTTTACACCCTGACATTTCCTGTGGTACAGGAAAATTAGTTAAACAATCGAGTTTCTTAAGTTGGCAATTATTCCCTATTTTCTCCAAATCCGAATGAATGATTCAGCAATATTGCTCTAAGGAGACAGTAGATGCTGGTTACTCTTACACTTTTAGAGTTTCACACTAACCTATAAACACCCGTGAATACATCAAAAGTAAAATTCTATTCCTCTTGTCATTTGTAATTAGAATTATTTTATTGGAATTATTTTGGATGTTGGCAAACTGACACATAAGCATTTGCAAACTGACAGACGTTGGCGAGTTGACCTCGTATGTTGACAAACTGTTCATCAGCAAACTGACACATGAGCATTTGCAAACTGACAGAGTTTGGTGAGTTGACCTTGTATGTTGACAAACTGTTCATCGGCAAACTGACACAAGCATTTGCAAACTGACAGACGTTGGCGAGTTGACCTTGTATGTTGACAAACTGTTCATCGGCAAACTGACACATAAGCATTTGCAAACTGACAGACGTTGGCGAGTTGACCTCGTATGTTGACAAACTGTTCATCGGCAAACTGACACATGAGCATTTGCAAACTGACAGACGTTGGTGAGTTGACCTCGTATGTTGACAAACTGTTCATTGGCAAACTGACACATAAGCATTTGCAAACTGACAGACCTTGGTGAGTTGACCTTGTATGTTGACAAACTGTTCATCGGCAAACTGACACAATCATTGGCAAAATGACCGGTTACCTTTCACACAGCACACCTGTGTGAAGATATTGTCAAGTGAAAAATAAATTTCTTTAAAGGTTGGTGGAGGACAGCTGTTCCTTCATATTTTTCAGGCCATCATGTTACACCTGATTGACGGCATGTATTGGTAAATTTTGTAGATGGTGGGCGAAATAAGACGAGAGGAGGTAAAAAGAAACGGAAGAGACCTGTTGGTAACCATTATGGTAGAGGACAACATCAAAGAAGGCATCACCAAGAGGAGCCAGAGTTAGGGAATCTGTTCAAGCCCTTAAAAGTCACTTCAGAAGATTCTGAGGAAGTTGTAGCAAAAGAAATAGCATCGAAACTAAATGAAGTAAGTAGTAAGACAGTATAAATGATTCAGATAGCACTGTGAGAGTGAATACTTTTGTGTTTTAGAGTGGTTCAAATTGGTTAAAAAAGCTAGTGAATTAAGTATTAGTGAAGTGTTCTTTGATTAAAAAAGTCATTAAAACATATTTTCATGTCAGTCTAGAGCTTTTGAGAACAGGCTTTTGAGTAAGTTGCAAAAGCTTATGCTATAACTCAGATTTTTGATCAGAGAGCAACTTTTTATGAGCAAAATTAATATGGATCTCTTTTGTGTGTGTGTGTGTGTGTGTGTGTGTGTGTGTTTTTCTTAAATGAGCCTCTTTCCAGGCTGGTTAAAGCTTAGTTTTCACAACAATACCTCTCTTCTAGTACACTAGTGCCTTCATTCAAGCAACATGTATACAGATTTAAGATAATTATGACTGATCATCTGATGACAAATTAAATTAAGATATGACTGACCATCTATATATAAAAATCAGTAGAAATGAACATAATGTTGACAAATTTGAAGGTATATGAAACCCTCTAGGATTCACTTTATTAAGTACACACCAAATGAAACTTGCATCCAGTCCTCGACATAGACAACAAACTTTTTTCCATCTGAAAAAGTTTCCTCTAAAACCTTAAACCCATCACATGAATCCCCATTAAAGTGACACCTTTATTGAAGAAAAACTTGTATAGTCCCTGTGTTAAGTGTTCTCTGAATGACATTCTGATAAGCCTGCTAGAAAGCCTTTGTGATCTTGCAGAGCTTGCTCACAGGCTATTCTGATGAACTAGATGTAAATCTGGTTCTGTGTGTTTTGTCTTATGCATTTTTACAACAGGCAAAAACAAATCTCATTCAGCGAGTTGTCAAATGCATTGGTTGTGAAAAAGCACTCAAGTTGTTCAGAGACACAAAAGAGGTTCAAATGCATGGAGGAATGTGGACAAAGGACAATCAGCGAAGGTACAGTATTTCCTTGGTAATTGTATCGTGTGCAGTAGCTACAAATCCCTGTCTGTCTCCTTTGAAGCCGTGATTTCATCTTGAACCAAACTCCTTTGTGTAACTCAGCCTTTTTCCCTTTTATGTCATTCTCTGGAGAAAGTCAATTAAATGTAATATTTCCTGCTATTTATCTTTTCCTTTGAAGCGACATTGTTTGGAAACTTTCTTAGGAAGGTACATTGTAGAAAAACTTTCCCAGGAAGGGACATTTTAGGGACACTTTTCTTGGAAGGGACATAAAAGTGAAATTTTCCCAGGAAGGGACATTAGAGGGACACCACATGGGACTTTGTGGGGGCATTTTCCCATAAAGGTATATTGTAGGGACTTTCTGCTGTGCAGGGACATTATAGGGATGCTTTCACATAAAGGGACATTGTTCCTTGGATGAAGGTCGCACTGTTTATCTTCTTAAGTTCCTTCAGGCAAATCCCTCAGTACTCTTGCCATAAGGTATTTCTAAAAAAGGTCAACCTCCGTGCATCATTCTTTGATTTTATTTTGTCTTCAATTGAAATGAACAATGGTTTGATCATCACGCATGTAGTTGGCTTCTTCAACCCTTAATTGCGTGACTACTGTAGACAGAATCTTTCTTACAACATGGAAACAATATCAAGTAGATAAGTGATGTGAATAAAGAAAAATATCAATCAGGAGATTATTTGTTTCTCCAATACTGAATTCTCCATTCTAACATCTTAACAATTGTATGGCAGACAGTAAGGAGAATTTGGTAGGAGATCATGGGTGTGATAGGTTAAAGCTATTAAAAGTCTTGTGTTGAGAGTTTGCAAGAAAAATCTGGTAACTCAAAAACTCTAACATTTTAATTTCTTTTTGATCTAAAAATCAATTGAACAAATCGACAATGGTTTAGCGTGGTTTTTAGTCTTATCTACAACAACATTTGTCATCACAGGGGTCAAAATATTGTGGACTCACGAGGAGCAGTCAAGTGAGTCCACCAATGTGTTGATACGAGTACAGACCACGCTAAACCACTGTCGATTTTATTTTTACTACAGTATCGACGTCAAATAAAACTATTCTTTCAGTGTGTGACCAAGATCGTGACATGTCTCATGCGACATCACTGCCAATTTTTGGTAAAAAGGCATTTTTTTTTCCACAGGCGCACGAGTGGAGGGGTATTTTTGACGATTCTTAAAGATAGATACGTTACTAAAGAACAAAACAAGTGGATTTTTGCGGTTGAAAATGAGATCAATAAAAAGAAAGCAAAAGAACAACAGCAACGACTGAAAGAAGTTCAAAGGAAAGATATTGAAGACTTGAAAATGAAATTGAAACAAAGAGACCAGGATTAACTTTGTGCGTGAATTTCTATCTGAGAGAAATATGCGAGAAGTGGGCTGAATTTTTGAATATGTGAACAGCCATTTGAAGTGATTTAAAGTCATGTAAGGTCACAAAGTTTACTAAAAATAAATAATAGTTTGCGGAAAGTCTTCTAAAGTTCCTCGAAGGTTACTTTTTCTATTTACGTGATTGCGTATTTGAATGATTTGGTGCTGTCAGCATTAGACCAGATAAGTTTGTAATTTCAACATTAATCCAGGTAGATTGCCTACCGAAAACGCAACTCCTACCTCTACTAACAGTTAGACTGCGAGCACTTCCTCCTTTTCGTCGCGCTCGTCAAAAAAAAAAAAAGAAAAAAAAGCGAAACAGAAATGAAAGAAGTAGATGTTCACGCGTGCGTATCACTTCCATAGTTGCGCACAGCGCGCCAACAGTGATATTTTTTTTGCAATTTGGTTTTTTGACTCGCGCGACGGACTTGGCCAAAAAGAGAGGGACTGATCGTAGAAACGTTTGGCAAAAGAACATCGTGGAGAGAAAGAAATTTATCGGTGTGGATGCACGAGAGGAGAAACGATAGGGTCTTTTTCGAACCGTTCCCCTCTTCAATCACTGTTCTCAAACCCTGAATTTAACACAATGCTTTAAATGCCAACTATAAAGGTCTGGTAACTAGTGTGGGACCTTTAGGTGTTTCTAACGTTAAGGAAACTTGGTAGCCATATCTGCCACTACAATTCTGATGTGTTAGACAACATCACATTGCACATAATTAAACATCGAGATTAATAACAAATTTCACAAGCACGTTCTTTAATTTTCAATCCCATAAATAAGTTTAATTCAAAACAATCATAAATCTCAAATTAATGATAATTTAATAAGTCTTCGCATCTGATTTACCCCTTTCCTCGATTACTCGCTTAAATTCGTTTTTCCTAATACTGCCTTTTCCCTTGCACCCCTATCAAAGCAATTTTAAGTTAGTACATTTAAAAACATAATAGATGTTTTAAATCAGAGCGTATTTGCTCGCAATGACTCACAGTGGAAAGACTTTCATCCTTTAGGCGAATGTGACTCAGTTTACAAAGGAGAGAACAACAAAGAAAACAGACATTACATAGTTTATGGAATGGTAGAATTTAATGAAGGAAAAAAACATAAATTATCTGTTTATGCATTGGTTGTTGGTATTTTTTAAGTCTCTTTTTGTCGGTAGTGTCGGTTACCCAGGGTTGAAGTTTTGCACTGTTATAAAAAAAGTCCTAATAAAATTGCCCCTTCAAATAATGGAACTCCAAGACCAATTTTATCAAGAAATTCAGGGTGCGTTGGTTCTGCACCAGTACGCGCTGTGATTGGTAAACTCGCGCCACTCTCTAAACCAATCATACGTAAAACCAAAACCAATCGCGATGTGGTCACTCGGGTTTTCCCGCGCTTCGGTTCATTTTACTTTGAGATTTCAATGGCTTCTTGTGATATTTTTCTTATATCTGATTGGCCCATGTGATAACTTGGTTGTGAGGCAACCAATCAAAAAGCGTGCACCTGAACAACTTTTTGGCGAACGACACTGATTTGGAAACGAGATGGTGTGAATGTCTCGCATTGTGAGGTTAGCCACAAAAACCCCATCGATGAAGGAACAAAATAAACAAACAAACGAACAAACAAAAGATGTGTTTTGCTACCCAATAGCTGTCCTTTGTCATGCCTTAACATCGTTTTAACTACACAAAATATACGCTTAATTCCTCAAAAGTGGCAGACACTCTTCAAGCAATTCAACCCAGAGCAGTATGCGCAATGAAGCCTGGTCAACTGTTCCTACTGAGAAAAATAACCTTGTAACTACTGACATTGACAAAAGGTACCTTCTTCGTTCCGCCTTCATGAATGATGCCAGACTGGTCTTATTAGTAAACGTAGAACCACTTACCTTGGCTTTTAATCATGAATCGAAAAATGGCGACGATGAAATGATCAATAAATCAAATTTCAAAATACAAATTTCTATGAAGAAACCGTTGATCAAGCTTCAATGTGATTATCTAAGCTTTACGTTAAGATCTACATTTCTCCCAATATACTTACAGTGTTTGATACTGACCTTGAATAATTTCTCATTTCAATTTGTTAGATACTTACAAATATTTTTAAAAAAAATAATACACGGAAACTTAAGCATTCATACCGCAAGTCCAACCATAAAGACGTCTACTCTGCTGAATTCAAGTTCGTCCTAGAAGCGTTTATGAAGCTCCCGATTCCCTCCGTTTTCATTTTTTTAAGGCGTTGAATGACGTCAACAGTCTCGTCAAAATAATGGACAAGATACGGCTCGGTGGACATAGAAGCCAGAAATTGTTCAAAACAAATCGACCAATCAAGGTCGACAGCACCGGGCGAAAGCCTTTCGTTTGATTGGTCAGTATCTAACACACCTGACAACGGTCTGTCACTTGATTCGTCCATATCAAATGTCCCGGATGCATGTCTATGGTGTGACTGGTTTCCAATTGAAGTCCCGGATGAAGAGCTAACGTTTGATAGGCCTTTACGTTCATCAAAAGTACTTTCGGAGGAGTATTGGCCTTGTGTGACAACAAGTAATCCTTTGAAGTCCTTTTCATTAGAATTTCTTATTTGATTGGAGTTTTCACCCGTGGAAAGGGGATCACCATGACTTAGTTTGTTATACACTTCGTCTAAGGTGTCTTGAGTGTCATTCTCTTCGCAGGTCACTGCCTCAGGTGTGCTGAACCCCTCGTCGCTGCCCACGAGAATAAAATCATCTCCTGCCGCGCTTCTCACCGGACTACTGAGCGAAGATTCACTACTCCTGGCGGCATCAATCAGTTCTTCCTTTACTAAAGTCGACGATTCAAGTTCTGACGTTACAGTTATTTCGCCAGGTGTGTTTAACGCATCTTCGGCGTTCGATGTCGATGTTTCAAAGTCTGCTACGTGAAGTGGGTCCATGAACCTGTCTAGATCATCGCTCTTTGACCGCTGATCAGTAGTTTTGTCTCCACTAGTGTCCAACTTTCCTCCAAATTCCCCCAGCTTAAGCAGTATATTGCCGACTGAAGCAATGGCTTGATACATCTGTTGTTCATTTGGCAGCTCGCGGAACAGCGAGTACATAGTTTTCCACAACAAAATAAAATTTCCCTTAAAGAAGAGATATCACACGTTGAGAATAAATCTTTCCGTTGACGCGTGAAAACTAGAGGCTAAAATTAAGTCAAACAAAGCAAGAAAAGGAAAATTTCTAGCGCACTGTTTCTAGCCTTACTTTATCTGGAAGATGCAGTAGGCTAAACAGTAACCCGCTTGACCGAGAGTCGAGAGGACTGGGTCGAGATCTGACTGGGCCGCTGTGCTGTGTACAAAACTCTTACAGTGCCTCTCTTTATTCACAGGTCTACCCCTTTACACCCCAACATCAGTATGCATATTCTCCCTACTGATCTTCATATATTTCCTAAGATGCTGACAAAGGGAAACTGCGTAACAGTCAAGAGCTTGCCATTATTCTCATGACCTTTATGTGTGATTGAGGGGTGATATTGTAAGGAGAAATTAGATGCTGGTCACTCTTACGCTGATCATTTCCTCAATTCTCATGACCCTAATGTGTGATTGAGGGATGATAATGTAAGGAGAAATTAGATGCTGGTCACTCTTACGCTGATCATTTCCTTTATTCTCATGACCCTAATGTGTGATTGAGGGGTGATATTGTAAGGAGAAATTAGATGCTGGTCACTCTTACGCTGATCATTTCCTAA